GAGGAAATGAGTCGGTAAACTTGCATTGCGGCGACAACATCTTCCCTTTGTGTGTGTGCACACACAACACACACACACACACACACACACACACACACACACACACACACACACACACACACACACACACACACACATAACACACACACACACACACACACACACACACACACACACACACACACACATATATATATATATATAATATATATATATATATATATATATATATATATTATATATATATGTATATTATATAATATATATTTTTTATTATATCCTGTGCATGTCACGTTCCCATAATTCCGGTTCGTTTTTTGTGTGATTATGTATTTTTTTTCTCTTTTCTTTCTTATCTGCTTTCTCTCCTTCGCTTTCTCTCTCCTCTTTCGCTTTCCGTTTCTCCTTTTCTCTCTTTCCCGCTGTTTCGATTTCTCTTTCCTCTTTGCTTTCCTCCTTTGTTTTTCTTTCTTTCTATCCTTTTCTCTCCCTCTCTCTCTCTCTCTGTCTCTCTCTCTCTCTCTCTCTCTCTCTCTCTCTCTCTCTCTCTCTCTCTCTCTCTCTCTCTTCTCTCTCTCTCTCCCTCTCTTTCTCTCTCTCTCTCTCTCTCTCTCTCTCTCTCTCTCTCTCTCTCTCCTCTCTCTCTCTCTCTCTCTCTTCTCTCTCTCTCTCTCTCTCCTCTCTCTCCTCTCCCTCTCCCTCTCTCTCTCCTCTCTCTCTCTCTCTCTCTCTCTCTCTCTCTCTCTCTCTCTCTCTCTCTCTCTCTCTCTCTCTCTCTCTCTCTCTCTCTCTCACCCTCCCTCCCTCCCTCCCTCCCTCCCTCTCTCTCTCTCTCTCCCTCTCACGTTGTGTGGTTATCAGCTGACCTCGCTCTCCTATTCTAGAACAGAGGCGATATCACGGCAGAATATACATTTAAAGTTTACTCTTCTGTTACGAAAAAAAAAAATGCCAGGTGTTCCGAGAAATAAAGACCGTTGACAAAATCACAGAAGTTCTCCGTAATCGAAACAAAAGCAACATGTTTCAGAGAACGTCCAGCACACGCGATAATTATATAAAAAAAAAAGTTGCGATCATCTTTCAGAATACTGTGCTGAATTTTCTACTGAGTTATCATGCAACTGTGTTTACTCTATCTACAGTTAAAGGACAAGTTTTATATTCATTATATCCTTGTGTTTTAACATCTGGGAAAATTTTGCTGTAGTTTTCTTAGATACATTGATATAATGTGTATTAGTTGTTACATAGTAGTAAACGATTGAAAGATTTCCCAGAACTTAAAAAAATGAAGGATTATTTAAGAAAGATAAATTGGAACATAAACGTGTAGAATTTTCTTTTTAAAATGTAATGAAAGAGGAGAAGAAGCATAAGATAAAGAAAGAGGAGGAGGGAGAAGGAATAAGGGAAATATATGAATAAAAAGAAGATAGAAGAGATGAAGAAAAGAGAGTAGAAGAAGGAGGAATTGAAGACAGAGAATAAAAAGAAAAAAAGAAAAAGAAGAGGAAGAAGATGAAGGAGAAGAATGAAGAGAAAAAGAGGAAGAAGAAGAAACACGTAAATGTTGAGAGTATAATTAACGACTTAAAACCAAACGACAATACGACCTGATGTAGATATAATATGAATAATATTATTTACATGGAAGATACGAATAATAAAGGTTTCTTAGCGTTAAAAGATAGAAAGGAATAAACATAACGGAGAGGAGAAAGATGGGAGAGCAAAAAGTGAGTAAACAGACAGACAGTTACATTGTGCAGAAGGTAAAGCATTTGGGAAGAGACGCTACGAATTCTGTAAGGAAAACAAAACAAAACAAAACAAAACAAAGGGATATGAGTGAGACCCCAACACCCTGTGCATCTCCCTCATAGATATAATAAATATACAAATATAGACAATAAGTGTATGAAATATATAATGGTGGTGGTTCGCGTTTACCGGTTCGGGTGTTCGAAGGTAAAAAAATATTCGACGTAATTATTCGACGTGGCCTGTGTTTCTTATCTTGATATTACCTTAATTATCATCCATTTTTTATCATATTTATCTTCTTTCTTGTAAGGCTGAAATTTGAAGGGGGGGGGGGCACGAAATGGCCAAAAAGGATTATCCATCGTCGACTGCAGCATTTTTGACTAATATTCGAAACCGGCCAAATGCATCTATCGTATTGTATTGAGAAGATATTCGTTCTCATTCACATTTTCTACATTTGTCAACATGTTCGGTTCATGTTGAGATCATTTTGGTCACAGGAGGAGCGCCCTTGCCTTCTCTCACGTCGGTGTGGGTGTAGGAATACCGGATGCAAGAGGGTGTGTGTAGGAGGAGGATAAGGAGTCCCACGCACAGGAGGATATGAGGAACTGGAGACGAGGCGAAAGATAACAGCGACCACAGAAAACTGGGTGAGAGGCTAAACTCATACACACACACACACACACACACACACACACACACACACACACACACACACACACACACACACACACACACACACACACACACACACACATATCAAGTTATTGTCGAAACTAGTAGTTATATGTCTTAGGCTAAAGAGATCCCACTGAAATGGCTAAACCAATTTTTATTTGGCTGGAATCAACGCTTGATACAGATAACTAATGTGATTGGTTCTTGACTGAAATGACTGAAAAAAACTAGTATAACACGAGTATTTAATACGATGTAAGAGATATTTACATTCCTATCATATTGTATGTATTCCATAACCAAAGATAAATGTTTAGTTTAAAAGGAAGTAATGGCTGAGTTACCCCTTTGAAACATTCTCTGTACTACTTGTTATATCCCATTTTCTATAAGCACAGGGAGCCTCTGAGGCAGATATTAAAGGAAATTATCTTCAAATGTTTGTATAATCAAGTAATGTCATGTATTATTATATAACTCCAAATGGAAAATTATGTGTAAAGACTGCTTATGTGTGAAGAAAACAAGGTTTTATACTTTAGATCTCATACATCACGAGAAAGAAATTGTTTCATTTCCGTTTTACGTAAGGAAGCATTTTATTAAGAAAATGACAAATGTAGCTGCAAGAATGGATAAAAAGGAATAACCAAACACTGAAGAATGAAGCGTTCCCCCTGTACAACCTGATCTACCACCTACCACATGTGATAATAAATCAATCAATCAGATAATAACAAAAATAATTTTCCACTGCTTTGCATCTGCCTCCGAGAATATCGGATTTTTTTTTCTTTACCAAACCCGATTTAAATGATCCCAAAATGACTCATTTTTCGAATGGGTTAAGGTGATGTGGGATGTGGTCAGGAACGTCTTAAATATCTTTATTATTATTTTGCGCAAATACATAATTGTGTGATAGGGATTAAAGTTGGCGAGATCAGCTTGAAAGTGGCAAGTTTCCATCGATTTTTGTTTCCAAAAAGTTGACAGTATGGAAAGAAGAGTGGGAGGGAAGAATGGGGATAGAGGAAGGATAGGTATGGCGGAAAAGATTTTAGGTGAAGAGAGTTTCCATATGAACTTTCTGTATATATAGGGGCTGACCCTATCACACCATCAAGGCAGCATAAATAATGCCCATTTAAACATAGAGCCATCTAGGTGAGGTTTTGGGAATCACACGAGCAGTCTCATGTCACGTTATTTAAATGAAATAATTATGTATTTTATTCATCAAAATGTTCTAGAATGCAAACTAATGTTTTCATTAACTCATTCTATTCAATTAATCAATAAAAAAAGTATTCTAGGCCTCAGAGTAAAGCGGAAACGCAAACATTGATGCAAAAGTTGCTAGTGTGATAGGCCTTGCTCGTTCACACACAAATAACATTATCTCTCTCTCTCTCTCTATCTCTTTTTGCTCTCTCTGATATCTAAGGGTCAAGGGCAGAGAAATTAGCTCCTTACCGCTTGTGTATGTGATTATCTGGTGGCGCAAACTGTGTGCAGCATTGTCTTGCCCGCCGAAAGAGCTCTTACGGCGATGCTATAATAATTGCAATGGTTTAAGTTAGCTATGATAAACTAGCCCTTGGAGGAGTATCAGCAATGCGAATAATAAATTGCACTTTTGTGTATCCAGAGCTGAAGTCAGGGAGAGTGGCATGGAGTTCAGGGATTCCAGCGTTAAAAAAGGGTAGGATGGAAATCGCCAGCCAGGTCCAGTAACATCATCCTTCTCTTTCCTTACCAAAGTCATGTGGAAACTCTGGACGAAAGGAAAGGCTTCATGGCGTTTGCTCAGTTTCCGGGGACCTATAAACCGCCTTTTTGTGTATGTATTCGTATCGAGTTTATTTGTTTTGTTATCGTGTGCGTTTGTAGGGTTTTGTTGTGAAGCTCTTTAGATGGGAAGGGCTGGGTCAGTATCAACTCGAGGTGCCACGGCGTCTGATTCTATTTTTGGAAAAAATAAACTACGGGGTTTATTTTTATGTTACAAAAGTTGCGACTGCTTGTGAATATGATCGATCAATTTGGACTCAAAAAGGATGGAAAATAATGATTTTCTTGGTTATATTTTCACTGAACAGACGCCATGACACGACCTCGAGTTGTTACTGATGTAGCCTTTCTTCTCTTTAGAGTATCGTGTGTTTGTGTACTGGCGATGGGGGCTTCATCGTAGCCAATGGTAAGGGTGGGGGAGGGGGGGGTCATTTTTCGAGGCTCCAGGCATGTTCCTCAAATTCTCCATTGAAACCAAAGACTATATACGTAAAGTCAGATTGAAACTCTAGGGGTATCCCGTCTCCAGCGCTGCCAAACGAACGATCCCTCTCAGATTCCTTAGGTCTTTTTAGATTAATGAAGCTCAGGATGCACTAACGTATTGCAATTGTACAAACTTTGGCTATTTCGTTGTAAATTTAAGTTTATAGTTTTGGTATTTGCTTCAAAGGAACAATAACTCCTGGGGCGTGGCGAGTATATACAACACCTACGGGCTCCAGGTCCTCAGTAAAATATTTTTCGTCGCGTCGATCGCCCGTTTTCTTTCTACGGAAGTCTAACATCTTGTGTGTGGAGTAATATCGACACATCATGTTGGGAACCGTACTAGAAAGTCTGAGTGACCGTAGATTAGGCAGATTTCTCGTCCTTCTGTTGCTATGCCAAGCTTTGTGCTTTATAATTGGCAGTCTCGTCGGTAAGTATGTGAGCTCGGTGAGACAGCTGAGCAAATACAAAGTAGGAAGATTTTGTGATCCAAATCTTTTCTTCACACACACGTATGTGATATGTGTGTGCAGAAAATATGTATAGTTATGCATACATACACGACACATAACACACACACGCACACACACACACACACGCACACCACACGCACCACGCACACGCACACGCACACGCACACGCACACGCACACGCACACACACACACACACACACACACACACACACACACACACACACACACACACACACACACACACACACACACACAATGTTCTGGACTCAGAATATGCGAAAAGTCTGGGAAAACCTATTTCCAACAACGGATGTTAAAAAGTCTGAGAGAAATATATATGTGTGTGTAAGTATATGCATATGTGTATGTATATGTTTATATGTATGTGCGCATGTAAATATATATATATATATATATATATATATATATATATATATATATATATTATATATATAACATTCGGTGATAAGTATATGCATATATGCATAGAAGCGCATACACAAAGATAAATACAACGTGACCTAACACCATATCCCCCCCCCCCCCACACACACACACCACCAACACACCAGCACCTGCACCGTCCTCTGTGATGTCCATGTTAGGCACAAAATGCATTGACAAGAACTACAACAGCACAAAGTGGTACTGGCGTCGCGGAAAGCAGCCGTGCGAAAGCATTGGTGACTTCGACAGCCCCATCGTTGAGGAGCAGATGATCACTGCCAATCACATCATCTTCAGTTTCCAGGTTGGTCGGTTGCCTCTGTGAGTGCAGGAGGGTTGAGGACTATGAGAGACTATGATAATCCTTGAAATGGTCCTTATACCCTTATAGTCAAGAGCTACGATAGACTACAAGTCTTTGATATGGTCCTTATACCCTTAGAGTCAAGAGCTACGAAAGACTACGATAGTATTTGAAATTAAGAACACGGTATGAATCGAAATGAATATCATTACAATAGAAGAGATGTATTCAACCTGTTTCGAATATATCTTTATTACAAATACAAGATGTATTCGAAATCGGTTGAATACATCTCTTGTATTGTGAAGATATTTATTCTCATTGATATATCTACGTTTGTCGTATCGATTGCGGTTTACTTGAAATTAACTTTGTGATCTTCGTCAGACGTCTAATAATCAGTTAGTATTTGTAAAATGTGAGGTTTAATATTCTTTGAACAAATTTTGTATGAGATGAATGTCAGTAAGAATAGATATATAATGAAATAAAAAATAGATAATTTGTATATGGTGAGGTGGTGAGGCAACAGTTTGGATTGCTTTCCCAACGGACCACATTTTTTTTTTTTTTTTTTTTTTTTTTTTTTTTTTTTTTTTTTTTTTTACAAAATGAAACCTGTGTAAGTCTGGTTAGTTCGTGAACATGTCCCTGGAAAAGCTGAACTGGCACCCTGGTGTTCATAGAGAGAACACCAACGTGACTCCATAGTGCTTGGAGTATTTCGACGGTATAGCCTCACTTTAACTTAAACAGCAATGAATTATTTCGACTACGGAATGACAACGAGCTAAGAGTGCAATAAAGCAGTTTAACTAAAAAAATAAAGAAAATAATAAAGAATAAGAACAAAATAAATAAAAAATAAATAGAGAGAGAGTACAGTAAATTGACTTTACGAAAGAATGACTAGAATAGAGAGTAAAAGTCTCCGTGTAAATCATAGGCATTTGCAAACTCAATACTATTAGCATATATGGAAGATATTTCTAGTGTCTTGTAATTTAGGACCTGTGCTTGCAGATTCCTATCCCCAAGGATGGCTTTGTCCTGGACTATTCCCGCTGGCAACAGAGCCTGACTGCTGCGCTGTATCTGGATATGCCCTATAGTGAGGGGGATGGACCAGGTAAATAATGTCCTCGTTTGCAATTCCAACATTACTGGAAGTATTTTGCATATATTATATGTGTGTGTGAGTGTGTGCGCGCGTGTGTGTGTTCTCAGTGGAAGTCATAAGTTGGCCAGAAAAGGAAAAGAAAAATAGTTTCATTTCGCTTTGGCAGCACCAGATGCCGTGATGACCCTAGATGCTCGCTTGGGCTACAGCGACCGAGGGGACCCAGCGGGAAAATGGACAGAATATGCCTCGTCTAAAGAGTATAGACATCTAGCATGTTCTATCGCGCAGAAAAGGCCAGGGTCCATGTACAGTTGCTCTCCTGTGCCGCTTTTTAGACTGGGATCTCTACACCATGACTTCTATCTCTTGAATATCCGACTGCCAGTGGACATGTTCGATACGTCCGAAGAAACTGGTATGAACACAAAACTCGGCCAAATCAATGACATGTGGGTTTCGGTAAGTTCGGACGCCAAACCTCCATCAGTAATGTTGCAGAAGTGTTAGAAGTGTAGTGATTATTTGTAATGTATGTTTGTATGTATTATATCCCTTCTTGTAGCATGTCGAAACCGAAACCTGAAGCACTTTGACACATGTTTGGTGTTGTATCAAGGTCGATACAAAACAGGATTATCATCGAAGTTTGCACAGGCTTTTTTTTTTAATGAGAATGCGTTTTTCTTAAATTCACAAAAAGAGGTCAATAGAAAACCTAATATCCAGGTATGATATTGAACTACAAGCAAAATATTGTAGAAGCCTTAAATAGAATGATAACAAATACTCAACTACTCTGCAAATATGATGCTTTATATACTCCTTTTTTGTTATTACATACATTGTTCATTATATGAAATTACACGAGGTTTTGCATCGATGTCCGAATCAGATAACAATAGGTAATATGAATGATAAGCGGTGCCTACTTGTCTTAGTAAGTTATATCAACAAATGGAGATACACGGACCATTCTGATATTTCTGAGCCTGTAAAGTTTTATCATTGAGGTACAGAAAGATTTTGAAGACATCACACAGAAGTCCTACCATGCTTGACTTCAAATTGTTCCCATTTCGAGTGAACGTGTATATCTAATGTATATCTAAAAAGAGACACATTTTATGCGCCTCTGAAACAGAATTTTGTATCAAGAAATTTACGTTGGGATTCGTAATTAAATGAAAAGTTGAATTCGTATCTGAGCCTGAAATATACCTGGAAAATATCGCATTGGCTGGGAAAGGGTGTATCAAACTGTATCAGGGAAGAGGCAGACACACTGATACAGAATGATATTTCAACAAGTTCCAATAATGTGCTCGTAGAGGGCAAACATGTATAGTGTATCACACTGTTTGGGGGTTTCGTAAAGGCTACAAAAAGGGCCTTATATTCATAGGCATATTGTTGAATGAAATATTAGAATGAATATTTAGGGAATATGATTAGGTATGGTGTAAATTAAGGGAAGAAGTCGCATGGAATAAACTTTTTTTAATGTAGCTGTGTCCAGTCGAGTTTATTATTCATAATGGGTTCAATTATAGTAGCTAGAAAGTTTCAAATTTTAATACTATGATTAACAATGTATCATTTTATGCTTGTTTATATCCTTTGAACAACTACGGTTATGTGAATTATTTTCTCGACAACCTGGCATTCATTTAGGCATTATAGTGTGAGCTAAAAGAAAGAAAGGAATATAACAAATATAGATTATCTTCACCATCCAAAGTTACCATAAGGTATAGTGAACTTCTGTTTATTAAATTAGTAAGGGGTCAGTCTGAAAAAATGAAATACCGTAATCTTGCACTCATGTGTCTGGAATTGCAACTTTCAAAACGGTTTCTAAATGCTCCTGTAGTGTTTCGTTTGAAGTACTGCTAATGAATTTGATTATTGCAAAATCCATGCTATTACTGAACAAGCAGACCCAACCAATTTTAATATTGCGAACTGACTTTACCACTAAATTAATCACAACAGCATTTCACCATTGCTAACGAATCTATCCACGGCTGACAAATCTCCCATTTTGCCCCCACAGTTCATCCACCAGAACGGGGGCTTCACCAAAGTATGGTTGTCCCTCAAAACCATCTTTTTCCCGGTGGTTTTAGTCACCGTCCTCTGGTTCTGGCGCCGTGTGGCCCAGCTTCCCCGGCCGCCAACCCTCCTAGAGAACATACTGGTGCTTCTTGGGGCTTCTCTCTCGCAGCTGAATTGTAAGTCTATGTAATGTTTGCTAAAAGATATTGTAGAAGCTTCGAATAAGACGGAATAAAAGTACTTAACTTCTTTGCAAGGCTGTGGGAACTCTCAAATGTATTTCTAGGATTCCGTCAAAATGTTTGCTTCGTTATTAATGGTTATGTCCTATACCTAAGGCGGCTGGGGAAAGGCTAGATCAGTAGCAACTCGAGGTGGTGTCATGCCGTTTGTTTTGATGATTGATTAGTGAAAATATAACCATCAGTATAATTGTTTTCCATCCTTTTTGGACACTGTAGAGATCAAAATGATTGACCATATTCACAAAGCTTCCGTAAGTTTTATGACGTCATCAAAATAAACCCCATGTGTTTTTTTTTTCACAAATTATAATCAGACGCCACGACACCTCGAGTTGCTACTGACCTAGCCTTTCCCGGGACGACTGTGTTCGAGTTCTGAGTTTTGTTGTAAACCACCATTATCGTCATTTTCGTTATTGGTATTTTTTGCTATTATCATTTCAGTATCGCGAGTATCACCACCCTCATCATCATCGCCATCACTATAATCATCCCCCTACACCACCACATTATCATCACCATAATCATTGCCATCATCATCATCATCACTATAATCATCCCCCACCACATCATCATTTTAATTATCATCACCACCACCACCACTACCAGCACCATCACCACCACCATCATCACCACCCTTAATCTGGATGGCTTACTTTCAGGTCCACTGGAGTACCTGACCTTGGCACTCGACTGCCCGTGGATGCCTCTTCTCAATGACCTCAGGCATGGGTTTTTCTATGCCACGCTCCTCCCCTTTTGGCTTATCTTTATCGGAGAACACATAATGGTGAGTGTTCTATAGTGACTCCAAGCAAGGAAGTGAAACTGAACGCAAAGTAGACGTTTTTGAAAACACTCGAACCAAATCTTTCGTTTTCGCTTATATGTATATGTTATCTGGCCGCCCTACCGCATCATCCCGCGGCTTAGGAAGCATGTTTCTCTGCCAAACATGCCCCCTACGTCCGGATCGGATATGGGGCCAACTTTGATATATTATCATATGTACAAGCTTTTGTTTTAGGAGTTCATGTGAAGAGTGCACAGTGAGTGAAAATTCCTGGCTCATGACGCTTTTAAACACAGTGCACTTGATAAACACACTGAATAGGCCTTTTTTTTTGACCCACAAGACACATAATAGAGTTTCGTACTTGTTTAAAATAACATGACACATACGGTGAAACTATCAAGACCAACCATTTTTTTTTAACGATAGAGAATTGAAAACAGAAACGCAATATTGAAGGGATACTCAAATATTTCTCTAGTTATATTTCTTATTTATATATTTTCATTGTTTTATTATAATTATTTTAAGATTCACATTTGCTTATTTTTAAAATTTAATTTCACTTTATATAATTATTAGTTTATCCATTTATTTGTTAGATTATTTATTTTCTTTACTGTTTCTGTGAATCAGTTCAACACTCTAGATGAGTAAAGAAAACCATAACTATTAAATCAATATTTTACAAAATACACAAACATAACGTTTTCTACACCTGATGAAGGGAGATGTAAACATGTACATACATACCAGTAAACAATAAACATGAAATAAACAGTAATTATAAGGGTAATCCATGGAGTCATTGGACAGTGTGAAAGGACAGTGCTGTTGTGTGCTTGTATGGAATTTATGTTAGGAAATTTGTAAAACAATTATGTGTAGATTTTACTGTTTTTCTTTCTGTCTCTCTGTCTGCTTCTTCTCTTTCTCTGTCTGTCTCCTTTCTATCTCTCTCTCTCTATGTCTCACTCTCTTTCTCTTTGTCTCTCACTCTCTCTCCCCATCCCTCCCCTTCCTTCTCCCTCCATCCCTCCCTCTCCCCCTCCTCTCCCTTCCTCCCCTTCCTCCCTCACTCTCTCTCCCTTCCCCCTTCTCCCTCACTCTCTCTCCCTCTCCCCCTTCCTCCCTCCCTCCCTCCCTCTCCCCCTTCCTCCCTCCCTCCCCTCTCCCTCTTCCCCCTTCCTCCCTCCCTCCCTCCCTCCTCCCTCTCCCCCCTTCCTCTCTCCTCTCCCCTCTTTCTCGATGATCACACATAAATATATTTCTCTTTACAGACTGATAATAAGGCCATATCCCGCGGCCTCTACGTTCTCGGCGTTCTTCTAGTCTTATCAGGGTGTTTGGTGCCGTTCGCCTTCGACTGCGTGCATTATGGACGTCAGCTCAGCAACCCTTTCTATGCCCAGCGGGCCTCGGGTACACTAGCAATGGGCATGGCAGTCTTAAAGTGCATCTTGGGAGGAGTCTACTTCTGTTTTCTTTCGTATCTGATCTGGAAGGTAAGCTTTTTTTTTTCTTTTTTTTTTTTTTTTTTTTCTTTTTTCTTTTCGTGTTATTGTCGTGTTCGTGTCGATGTGGGTGTTGGAGCCTTTTTTTTCCTTCATCAAAAAATATATATATTGATTTTTTTTCGAGTATTAGTTTCAAAATAAGGATGGCAGTGGCTCGCTGAAGACAAAGAGAGTGGATAGATAAAGCTCAAAATATATTCAGTATTTACCATCCTTTTATGACTGTCTCTTTATATTTCTATATGTTCCTTTAAATACCTTATTCAGAGACATGAACTATTATTTAACGAATGTACATATTACATGATGTTCATAGGTCATAGGTCCGTAAAATGATATTTCAGACAATACATTCTGTTCTAACCTTACTACAGCAAACAGTGATAGGCCTACGGATGTGTTTACCTTATTGTAGCAAACTGTTATAGGCCTATGTATGTTTTAACCTTAAAATAGCAGTGATTGCCCTCTTCATATTTTAAACTTACTTCAGCAAACAGTGATAGGCCTTTGTACATGTTTTAACACCTTACTACAACAAACCAGGAATACATGCCTATGTATGAATAGGCCTATGGCAGTGATAGGCCTGACAGTGATATAGGCCCTATGTGTACTACCAAACAGTGATAGGCCTATGTATGTTTCAACATCACTACAAAACAGTGATATATGGAGGCCTATGTATGTTTCAACCAAACAGTGATAGGCCTATGTATGTTTACTACATCAAACTACCTATGTATGTTTCAACATTACTACATCAAACAGTGATAGGCCTATGTATGTTTCAACATCACTACATCAAACAGTGATAGGCCTATGTTGTTTCAACATTACTAACAGTGATAGGCCTATGTATGTTCAACATCACTACATCAAACAGTATAGGCCTATGTATTTCAACATCACTACATCAACAGTGATAGGCCTATGTATGTTTCAACATCAAACAGTGATAGGCCTATGTATTCAACATCACTACATCAAACAGTGATAGCCTATGTATGAAACAGGCCTATGTATGTTTCAACATCACTACATCAAACAATAGGCCTATGTATGGCAAACAGTGATACAGCATCAAACAGTGATATATGCCATACTATGTCAAACAGTGATTAGGCCTATGTATGTTTCAAAACTACACAAACAGTGATAGGCCTATGTATGGAATCATGATCAAACAGTGATAGGCCTATGTATGTACATCAAACTACATGCAGTGATAGGCCTATGTATGTTTCAACATACTACATCAAACAGTGATAGGCCTATGTATGTTTCAACATCACTACATCAAACAGTGATAGGCCTAAGTATCTGTCTTAGCGCGTGATCATAACAAACAGTAATATGTCTATTTAAGTAAAACTCTTTTATTCCAATTTTGACAGGCATTCACAGACATCGGAAGAAGATATCAGTCACTGGCGAATAAAGATCAGCCTAATGAATTAAGTAGGCCTACCTTTAAACGTTACAGGGCTATGATGGCAGCGACTCACATTTGTGCCGCACTTACCATCATTTTCATCGTCCTTTTAAGGGTTAGTTGAAAAATTAACATTGATTTATGACTTGATTTAAGGTTAACATGGAAGAAGTAACTTGAGGTGGTAGAAATAATAGACGTTTTAGCGTATGATTAGCATGGAATGATATATGAATTAAAATGGGATGATTGTAGGAAAAATAACCTGGGAAAAGTTGAGTTAAAAGTAACAAAAGAAAAGATAATAATAATAATAATAATAATAATAATAATAATAAATAAACATAAAACTTACACATAAAATGAACAGAAAATGAGCTAATGGGACAGAATGTATGTATAAATGAGCGATTTATCTGGCCATTCGTTGGAATTTTGATAAACTAAATGAAACATCTAAACCCAGCCTGCAGGGGACACTCTCCACCGTGACCTCTGCCACAACACCCGAGGTCAGAGGTCACGAGAGCCATGACCTGTCTCCACACGAATCTCGTAAAATCTCGCGCGTTTCAGCCCCCCCCCCTTCATCATCACCGGCACCATCACCAATTTGCTTGTCATAAATGCAGAATTTGTTTAAGAGTTGCCATGAATGCAGAATTTACTAAAGTTACCATGAATAAAGAATTTAAGCCATGAATGCAGAATTTAAGAGTTGCCATAAACGCAGTATTTGCTAGAGTTGTCATAAACACAAAACTTGCTTAAGTTGCCACAAATGCAGAATTTGCTAAAGAGTTGCCACAAATGCAAAATTTGCTAGAGTTGCCATAAATGCAAAATTTGCCTAAGAGTTGCCACAAATGCAAAATTTGCTAGAGTTGCCATAAATGCAAAATTTGCTTAAGAGTTGCCACGAATGCAGAATTTACTGAAGAGCGCCGAAAATAACCACTGGATGAACAGCCTTCCCTTTCTTCTCCAGGTCTCGGAGGCGCAGGCGACCGGGTACGAAAACATCAAGCTGGAATACACGAGCGGCTTCTTCACTGGAGTTTATGGCACGTGGAACATTTACACTTTCTCTCTCCTCTGCCTCTATGCTCCTTCGCGAATACATGCATGAGCAAAATGTGATGAATACATAAGTAGATACATGAGTAGGAATATGTCCTAGGGGAGGAAAAGATGTTACGTGATGTATGTCAGAGGTTTTAGGTATTTTTTAAACCAGTGGTTCCCAACCTTTTGTACGCTTGCACCCCTAGGAAAATTTTACCGTGTCCTCGCACCCCCTTTAAATTTATAATTCATTTGAGAAGGTGAATTTATACTAAATTTTATCAACAAAAGAAAACATTATTTTTCATTTCTTAACAATAAGCTAACAAAAATCAAACATGGACAAGAAAACATGTTGAATAAACCCTACAAAAAATCACTTGCTTGAAATACCTACATATAAAAATCAAGAACTAACTTTAAAACGTTTATAGAAATGAATTTCCAGTTCAGTGGCTCTTTTCTTCCTGTTTCTTGATTATGTGTAATAAATAGATTAACTGCCTGTCTTCAAGATGGACACTTCTCACACCCCTTGGAATACTGTCTGACACTCCCAGGAAACCCTGATTTAAACCAATAAACATTATAAACCTTGCTTCAGACTGCCTTTCGTCGGTTTGTTTACTTAGTTGTGTCACTCGGAGCTTTACCGGAGTGTAGACTTTCCCGACACGAAAGCCAGATTGATGTAAATAAGAAAGACATTTAAAAAGGAGGTTATTAAAAGGACATTGAAGCAAAGACAAACACAAAAATCGAAAGCCTCTAAAATTTACGTGTATGTTAAATTAAAATAAAATTGCAAAAGTGAATAAAGGCAAATTAAGATAGATAAATGGATAAATGAATAGTAATAATAATGGAAGAAATAGACAGGAAGACGAAAACAGGGTTTGAATGTTCTCCTGACGTTACGAATCTATAAAAATCGACGTATTCTTTCTCTTTCTCTCATTGCATCTCACATTTGTCTTTTTTTCTTTTCCTGTTAGTCTGTGTATTCTTTCTTTTTCTCTCTTGACGTGTTTTTCCTTTATGTGGATGTTTGTCTTTTAAGGAAGATGACATGTCTTTGAATCTTTGTTTGTCTTTTAAGGAAGATGACATGTCTTTGAACATGTCTTTTTGTCTCCTTCATTTGTGTCTTTTAAGTGTCTTTTCCTATTGGTCTGTGACCGAGATTCGCGTCTACATTACTGTACGTAAACATTACTTTCCTAATGTTCTATCCCTTGGCTAATTTTTGCCTAATTTTTTCCTTACTTTCCTTTTGTTTATTTTCTTTTAAGTGTCCTTTCTTTTATGTGGCTTTATGTTACGTATTTGTAACATTTTTTAAGCTCGTCATTTACTATTAGATTTAATATTTTTTATACCATACTTTTCTAAGGCTATTACAGAGGTCCCAGGTACTATTAAGTACCTGCAGAAATGCATTACACAATATCTCCACATAGCGAGAAGCCAAGTAAGGTATTAGGTCAAAGCAGGTTAGTCAGCGAGAGAAAGAGAGATAGCGAAGTTTGTTTATTTTAAGGTTTAAGATACCTTTTAGATTATAACATTGCTGACTGATGCTTCTAGTACTGTGACGAGTTTCCTATGTTATTATTTAGTGTATGGTGTGGTTTTGATAGTGGTACTTTGCGAAAGACTGTGTTTAATAAACGTGTAAATGAATAGTGTTTTGATGTTTCCTATTTTCTCAAACACCGATGTTATATTGTTTTTTTTTCTGAAAAAAATATTTTGTGATAATTTTTAGATCAACTGAGTCATCAGTAGAATAATACCTCCGACATGTAATTGGGTACCATATGATACCAAAATGCATTCTGTAATTTTGTGGAGTAATAATTACCAAGTACATTATCATTTATAAAAAAAATGGTTAAAGATGAATATAAGGCAATAATTTTTGGTAGACAAAAAAGAACAGGAGTGCTCGTGGATTTGGTGAATGGATTGTATGCAAATAAAAAAGTAAATAAATAAATAAATAACAAAGAAAAGAAAAGGAAAAGGAAAATCAAAACAAAATAGATGAAATATTAAAAAAAGAAAGAAAAGAAAAATCAAAAGAAAAAAAATAAATAAAAAAAAAAGGAAAAGAAAGAAAAATATTAATGGAGGAGAGAGAGAAAAAATAGATGTCGCAAACTTTAAATCTACAATATTTAATCTACAATAATAAGAAAGATCATGTGGCGGCCCATGAGGAACGCTATGAGGAATAGGCAGAACCACATACCATCACACGAGGGACCAGAGCGGTATTTACCAAAGGTCATATAATCTTTAACAAATTTAAAGACTTAAAAAAATCTTTGAAACCAAGATTACCATAGATTTGGTCTATTTTCTAAAGATCGTTTTTAGCGATAGAGTGTGTGACTTGCACTGATGACATAATGATAATGATACTAATAATGATTATTATTATTATCAGCATTATTATTGTTATTATTATTCGTGTTGTTATTGTTATTACTATATGTATCATCATTATTGATATTATTACGTTACCAGCATTAGTATACTAATGCTAATAATGATAATAATGATATTATTAATATTAGCATTATTATTATTTTTATTATCATTTTTATCATTATTATCATTCTTCTTATTATTATTATCATCATCATCATCATCATCATCATCATCATCATCATCATTGTTGTTACTATTATTACTATATATTTTTTTCTTATTATCACCACTATCCTCATTAATGTAATCATTATTATTATCACTATTATTATTATTATCATCCATTTTTATTATTATTATCATTATCATTAGCTTTATTGATATTATTATTATTGTTATTATCATTCTTCTTATTATCATTATTATTACTATTATTATTACTATTATTATTATCATTATTATTATAATTAACATCCTTATTTTTATTGGCTTTCTTATTTTTACCATTTTCATCATCATTCTCATTCTTATTATTCCTCTTCTTATCATCACTATTCTCTTTCTGTTTATTTATTTGTTTGTGGGAATCTGAGCAGGCCTGTATGCAAATTCATATAAATCACCTCTATTACCATGATTATCATTATCATTACCAATATCATCATTATCGTTATTATTATTACTTTTTATCATCATTGCCACTATTATTTTTATTACTATTACTATTACTTTTATTATTACCTATTGTCATTACTATTATTATTATTCATTATGATGATATATTATTATTATTATAATATTTTTTATTCTTATCATTATATCTTTATTATCACTGTAATCTTATTTGCACTACCACTATAAGAGAG